AGCAACATAGCCCCCAATGATGTCAGAGTGAAGGTTGCCGCGCGATGCCGCCCCGAGGAGGAGCCGGCTTCGTGGTTGTGCGCTTTGGTGTCCACTTCCACGATATGTTGGGCGACAACAATGGCTAAGGTTTGACTTGACTATCGGGCGGCTGGGGCAGAGGAAGGGAGAAGAGAATGATCATATGCGGCCACTCACTCACACCACCCCTCCCCCTGGAGAGTGCAGCTATGTCTCGCTTGTAGCGAGTGTGAGGGCAGCATCATTCACAACACCCTTGTGTATAGGGTAGGCCGAATGCACGAGGTAGCTACCCCTTCCCAGTCACACACAAAGGAGCACACACATGCACACTTTTTCCTTTTTTTTCTTTTCATGTTTTCTCTTTTTTGCCTCTACTTTTAGAAATACACATTTAAATTATTGGAGTAAATATTTTTAATTTCCTAATTATACATAAAAATATTAAACATGCATTCAACTTTTTTTAAAGTGTATTCCATAAGTGTTCATTGTGTGTTTGAAAAATTGTTCATCATGTGTTTTAAAAGTATTAAGCACACATTTAGAAAATAGTCAGGGCGTAATTAAAAATGTTTATGTCCTTGTTTAAAATGTCCACAAGCTTTTTTTTCTTCTAAATAATTTTATTATTAAGAAGATGTTTGATGAATTTAGAAAAATATTCATGTAACTAGAGAAATGTTAATCATTTAAATATTCATTTATTAAAAAAATGTTTGACACATTGAAAAAACTAAACCATGTAATTTAAAAAGGGTTTGGTGCACTTTAAACAAATGTTAAAGTAATTTGAAAAATTTCAAGTATTGAAAATGATCATGTGATTTAAAACAAGTGTTCAAGCCTTTTATAGGAAAAGTTCATGTAACCTTAAATGCGCAATTTTTAAAATATCATTTATAGTTAATTTTGTAAGAGAAACATAAGAAGAAGGAAAAACAAGTGGAAAGTGTTTAACATGTAAAAAAATATTTTTTACTTAAGTAAAAGTAAAGAGAAAGCATGAAAACAAAATGAAAGAAAAGAAAGAAAAAAGTAAGAATAAGAAAACAAAGAAAAACATGTAACTAGACAAAAATCGGAGGTACCACACAAACTCCAGATAGAAAAACAAAAATTGAAATCGCTGGAGCGCACACAAAGTAGAAAATATGGAAAAACTAGGAACTAAACTGCTAGGAACCCCCCCGCAAAAAAAAAAACTGCTAGGAACCGTTTCAGTCTGGGGATACTGGGCTGACCCGTACTAGAACCGTTATAGCTGAGCTACAACTATGCCTCGCAGAAGGCGAGATATAGGATGGACACCTCGATGACTCTGGTCAATGTAGTCCAAGAGGACTATGGTAGGAGCCCGTCATGTTAGGGGGCCATTTGATCGAGGAGGTTTTGCAAGTGGTCACATGTACTAACACTGCTATTGTACTGATTCTGAATGTTAACTCCCCCGAAAAGATAACCAATTTAGGCCCATTAACTTGTGTAATGTGCTATACAAGATTATTGCAAAAAAATGTGGCTACTCGTTTGAAGGTCTTTCTCCCAGAAATTATTAGTCTGACTCAAGTGTGTTTTCGCACCAGGAAGATTTAAGAAACTGTTCGTGGTTTATTCCATAAATGTCCACTGTGTGTTTGAAAAGTATTAATAGTGTATCTAGAAAATATTAATAGCATATTAAAAAAACTCGTGTACTTTTATAAAGGTTCCCATATTTACCTTTGTCTTTTACAAAATGTTAATGTAATTACAAAATTGATACATTTTCTTAAAAAGTGTTTATAAAATTCAAAAGGTGTTCGACATATTTTTAAAAATGATCATTTTTTACGAGGTAAAGGGGATTTTGGGATTTTATCATTGCTCAAGGTGGTACGAAGTGTGCCCTACATAACATAGGGATATTCACTGGGCAGACCACGGCCATACGGCCGTGCGTGCCTCAGAACGGCCATAAGCAACTAGATAATGGCTAAGAGCATCTCTAACGGACTTCTTAAAAACGCGAAAACTATAAAAATCCCACGATTATACGGGTTTTGCCCATTTTTTTGGGTTAGACTAGAGTCCGTATAGTTGCCCAGCCCATACATGTTTTTAAGTAGCCCGGACCCTCCCCCGCTGCGCAACATAACTACGGGTTCGCGGTGAGTATACGGGGCCAAACCCTATCCCCGCGCTGCCACAGTCCCCCCTCTCCCCACTCGATTTCTCGCCGCCGGTGACTCCAATCCGTCGCCGCACTCCACCATGTGGCGCGGGATGTGGAGTTAGGGCCGCTGCGCCGGCGGTCGCGACGACCCCGAGCTGCAGTGGTGCGTCCAAGTTGACGACGCGAGGAAGCGAGCCGCCCGGAAGTACATGAACCGCGGCCTAGAGCCGCCGCCGCCCCTCCTCCACCGCAAGACGGAGGAGTACGACCGCAGGCAGGCACGACTGTCCTCTGGCGCTGGCAGCTCCGCCGGGTGGTCGTCATCGGGCCGGAGGATTTCCTCCCCTCTGCGGAGGTTGATGTCTTTGAGGCCGCCATCGTCGCGCGCAGTGCACGGGAGGAGGAGGAGGAGGAGGCGGAGCAGCACTGTCGACAGGAAGCCGACCTTGACGCAGTCCACCTCGAGCAGGGGCTCACGAAGGCATAGGAGTTCGACGACAACTTGGAGGCATGGTGCTGTGAAGCCAAGGTACAAGACGACATCTACATCGACCTCGTCTCCTCCTCCTCCGACTGAGCTCCTCGGCCGCCATGCGTTGCCGCCACACCCGCAGGGCTCCGATGAGCCCCATTTTGGCCAGTTTAGGGTTAGGGTAGGCCCACGTGCAATATGTAATCGATGAACTATATGTATGTACGAATGATTATCTCTATTATATGTATGTATGAATGATCATCTTTAGTGTTTTTTGTCCATTCCTCATGCAAAACATTTTCAAAACTTTACAGTTTCATATAAGGTTATTGTTCGGCCGCAGCCAAACTCGCCCCTTATAAGAGCATCTCTAGGAGACCCCTTAAAATTGCGACCCATATAAGTGTTTTACGGGTCGAGGAAAACGCATTATAAGGGCCGATTTTAGCTGCGGCCGAACAAAACCCGTATAATCAACCCGTAAAAAAAAATATTCTTTAAATATACTATCTTCTTCCTCACGCCCTTCCCATCTCAATCTTCATCCCCTCGACATGTGCGCGTCCTGTCTCCACAACCGTCTCCCCGTACTGACTGCAGCAGCAGCAGCCGCCACCGCTGCTGTCAAGGCGTTCGCGACTGACACTCACATGAAGCTAGCTAGCTAGCTAGCAATTCGAGCGGACGGAGAGCTAACTAGCTAGCTGAATCGAGCGGACGGAGAGCTTTCAGCTAGCTAGCTAGCTAGCAATTCGAGCGGACGGCCGACTAGCTAGCTAGTTTTATGTGACGATGATGGCCGGCGGCCTGAGGGCGGGCGATGGTTGAGGCGGGCGGCCGGCGGGCGTGGTGGTCGGGATGAGCGCGGCAGTCGGGGACAGGCGGACGGGAGTGATTCTTGAAGGTTTTGATGGTAGTTGGATTTCCGCCAACGGTCTCTCGTGATTTTTGAAGGTTCCAATGGTAGTTGGATTTTTGCCAACGGTCTCTTGCGTATACATACACTTCTTCGGTACAACCCCTCCTGACACATCAACGGTCTAGAATAAAAAATACCCTTTCGTGAGAATAAGTGAGTAGGGGTAGGATGGGAAATTTAGGTGGGGGAGGCGTACCGCGGCGTAGCGAGGCGCGTGTCCGTACGGCCCGCTGTACGCCCGTACGTGGGCGGTGTACGCCGCGTGAGGAGGAGGGCGGGCCCACACGTACTAAACCCTAATCCATTAATTCGGCGCGGATTAGGCGAATCCATTAACGCCGGCGCAGTGAGACGTCCCGTCACCGGCGTCGGTCCGCGGGCGGCACGGATTCACACGCCACCGCCTGCCGCGCGCCCGCGCACGCCACCGCTTGATCGCCCGCGCACGCCGCCCCCTCGCGTACCAGGCATTAATCGCCGGCGCCGATTCACACGCCGCCGCCTGCCATTCTGCGCTCCTTGACCGCCCGCTCGGCTGCCCCCCCGGCATTGATCGCCGGCACCCCACCCACCCACCACTACGCCCTATAAAGAGCGCCTCGTGCCCTTCGTCGGCTCGCACACCACCCTCGCCTCGCCTCGCCTTCTCCCCCTGTCGCTGGCGTCGCCCTCTTGCGCCCTTCCCCCCTCACGCGCTGTACCTTTTCCTCTCGCCGGCGATGGCACGCCCCAACTTGACGCATGAGGAGGCGGAGGAGCTCGCCCACTTCGTCATCCCCGCGGCACCCGACGTGCGCCTGCCGGCGAGGTGGCGCCTGAGCGTCGTCGACGTTCCTGTGGTGCCGGTGCCCGAGGTCGGCACCCACCTCTTCGCCCGCGTCATCGGCCTGTACAGGGCTCGCCTATCGCCGGAGGAGCTCACCGACCCCCAGTACGCCCCCAACAACCCCGGCTGGGCGGACCGCCTCGCAGACGATCACCTGCGCCGCCTCCACGCCTACGCCGGCCCGCGCCCGCCCACGAAGCACAACCACGCGTGGCGGCATCAGCTCTGGGATGGGCGCACCTTCGAGGAGGTGGTCGCGTCGTACCGCGCGCAGGCGGTCGCCGGCGCCGTGCCAGCTCCGCTGGGGTACGGCTTTGAACTGTACCACCGCGGCGAGGCGCGCTCGACCCGTGCCCGCGTCGACTTCGGCACCATGCACCCGCTCGCGCCCCGCGGAGGCCCAGGCGGTGACCGCGGCGCTGTCCGCCACGGCCCCGGCGATCGCCATACGGCGGGCAGGAACGACGCCGGGTCTAGCCGTACCGCGGGCAGGGACGGCGCCGGGTCCAGCCGCGCCCCTCCGCCCGAGCCGCAGCAGCAGCCAGAGCTGGCATTGGTGGCGGAGTACAGGCGGCTGGCGGCGGAGGCCGGCGACCCGGACGACATGCAGGGCTACCTGACAGCGTTCCGGGAGTCGGAGAACATGCCGCAGCCGCCGCCGCTTGTTCTGGAGTACATTCAGGTCGCCCCGGGCGCCGTCCACCCGGAGGACCCGGAGGACTTTCCCGGGTATCACGCCGCGCTCGAGGACTCGATGGCTGCGCCGGCCGTGCCCGTGGTGCCCCTCGACGACAGTAGCAGCAGCGACGACAGCGACAACGGCGACGGGCTCTATGACGAGGCAGACTTCGGCAGCGTGGAGGACGAGTAGTTTAGGGTTACTTTCAAAATGTCATTTAGTAATGTTTAATTATTTTTGTAATGTTCTTTAGTTAAGTTTTATTTCTAGTACTATGTAAAATATCTATGAAAACTATAATGAAATATCGAGTGTTTGAATGGATGGTTTTTAAATGTTGTTGAAGAATCAAGTGTTTGAATTGATACTGTTATTTTTAGTTTTGAAAAGAGTTGTATTGTAAAAAATAAAAAATTAGAAAAGAATTAAACTTGAATTGAAAAAACCCTATGAAAACTAGAAAAGTAAATATAAAACCAAATAATAAAAAATTGACATAATATTCGCAAAACAAGTTGGAAGATTTTTTTTAAAGAAAAATTCTATTGTAAAAAGTAAAAAATCAGAAAAGAATTAAACTTGAATTGAAAAAAATCTATGAAAACTAGAAAAGTAAATATAAAACCAAACAATAAAAAATTGACATAATATTCGCAAAACAAGCTAGAAGAGTTTTTTTAAAGAAAATTTGTATTGTAAAAAATAAAAAACAAGTTAGAAGATTTTTTTATTAAAAAAAAGAACGCCGCCCCGGAGCCGAGCGAGGCTTAGTAAGTCGCTCCCGATCAAGCCAATCGGCGAAAGGGAACGCTTTTCGGCCTCACAAGGCCCACCGGCCCAACCAGGCGGCGTAGAGAGAAAGTAGGCGGTCTATTTCTTCGGATCACGTCGGTGTAGGGCGGGGCGCGCTATTTAAGCTGGTGCGGGCGAGCTCCGGCAGGCAAGGTGGGACTAAAGGTAGAGCACGCCTGTCACGGCGCTGCGCGTGGACCGCCTAGGTGGGCCAATTTCTATGGGCCGCTGTAAGGCATGCGTGCGAGCGGCCTCTCGCGGTGCTGCGCGTTGACTGGCAAGGTGGGCCGATTTCAGTAGGCCTAGTGGGCCGCTGGAAGGCGCGCCTGCGAGCGGTCGAGGGTGCAAGGGCGGGGGTTGGTACGATGGATGGTTTCGTTTAGTCCCACCTCGCCTGCCGAAGGACGCCCAGACCGACTTATATAGGCGGATTCATACACCCTAGCAAATAAGAAAGATAGTAATAATGTGATTTGACTTTCCACTGCCCGGGCAGCTCTGCCGCAGCTGCCCGGACAGTGTTACACTGTCCGGGCAGCTGCGGTAGTGCTGCTAGTGCATTGTAAACTTAGATCACATCATTATTATGTATCTTATTTTTGATAGTTTAGCATTTTACGCAAAGTTTGTTTTATTAATACATAAAGTTTTATAATATTTTTGTCCGCTCAGTGTTTTACTTGTTTCAAATTCATAATGGCAAAAAGCCACTAAACTTGTCATGCATCATATTCATTTAAAGAATGTCGAAAAATACCTCGTTTTCGGACAGGGCCTTTTCTCCTACCAGAACGGTCTACGAGGAAGTAGGTCAATTTGGTGACATCTTCAGAATGGCCTGAAATTTTGCATGTGAGTTCGTATGCCCACTCCCACACAAAATCCAAAAATTTAAGATATTTCGATACAACACGTCGCATCACGTCCGGTCAGCATTTAAAGTGTTTTGACCGAAAAAATTATAGAAAATTCATAAAATTGCAAAAAGCCACGAAACTTGTCATGCATCCTATTCATGATGGTACAAGACTATGGAAAAAATTGGGTTCATTTGGAGGATGTCGAAAAATACCTCATTTTCAGACAGGGTCTTTTCTCCTACCCGAACAGTC